GTAGATTTTGTTATATTTTAAGGCAACAAAGTTACTGTTGGCATCTTAATAACATTTTACACTGTGGAGGAGCCATTGGGATTTCCAGGGTGGCTTCACTCAAAGCATTTAGTATTTGAGTCACTGGCAGCAAAGATGGTATTGTCTTCAAAGGGTGGGGTAGGATACAAGAGGGGTCTCCACATTCAAGTGGGAAAGTTTGGGATCATCTGCTTTGTCAGGTGGGTTTCAATGGTGCTCATGTCCGAATTGGCTTTTCCTCCAAAGGAAGCTTTTCATCTGCCGAACTGTTCGGACCCTGGCCCCTTGAGACACCTGGCTTCTCTGTAGTAAGAGGCCACTGTGACTTGTCAGCCGGCGGCGCCATCAGCATCACTCTACGGAGTGAATGACATCCTGCCTGATTTCCTGAAATGAGTGAGCTGCTGGTAGCTATCTAAAGTGATTCCCTGAGTGGACCCGCTGGAAGGAAGTGTTTACATGGCCCAGCTGAACACTGGGGAGTAGCTGCCAAGTGCCGCACTATTAGGATCAATCTCATTTATGTCAAGCTGGGCTCTGCTGGCACAGTGATTAGCCCAGGGATTCAGTTGTTACTTTTCTCATCACCCCACCCCCACAACCAAAGCAAGGCTTTCTCACTGTGGAAAATATGAGAAATGCACAAAAGGTGGGAAGGAGGGAAAATAGGAGGCGGGAGGAAAGGAGTCATGCAGAATCCAGCCACACAATTTCTTCTGACCTTTTAAAATGCATTTTGGAAACACAGTTGAAATCCTGAGGTATAGGAGATATATGATTTTATATTTGCTTTTTTTTTTTTTTTTTTGCTTTATATGTTGCAAGCTTTTACCTGTGTCACTTGAAACTCTACAAAAAGAATGTTTTAATGTTCTTCCAGACAGGCTGCTTTGAGTTTTTTCACTGTTGCAAAGGCATCTTAGTTCATTATCTTTGACTACACTTTGCACAGTTATTCTCCTTCTTAAGAGAGACTTCTGGAAGTAGAAATATGTGACAAAAAAGTGTAGACATTCTAAAGCATTTCTCTCCTGTGGATTGGATGCGTGGCTTTCCAGAAAGCTTACCCTTGCACAGTGTCAAGCCAGAGCATCTGCCCCATGGTGACCTTCAAACAGCACAAGGAGAAAACCTGGATCTGTTTTATAATTTGAAGAGGTAAAAGAACAATGCATTATTTTTACTTGCATCTTGGTGATGACGAGTGAGAATGAGTGATATTTTATTTTACTTTATTTTTTGAATTGGGGAGAGAATTTATACATTTTTTTTTTCCTTTGGGAAATTACCTACTTCCTGGTTATTGGGTGTTTAAAGAGATTCTTATGACCTCCTCTAACATGAAAGAGATTAGCCCCATGTCATATTTATTTCATTTTTTTTTTGGGGGGTAACGGAGGATTGAACTTGGGGGCACTTGACCACTGAGCCACATCCCCAGCCCTATTTTGTATTTTATTTAGAGACAGGGTCTCTAAGCGAGTTGCTTAGTGCCTTGCTTTTACTGAGGCTGGCTTTGAACTCTTGATCCTCCTGCTTCAGCCTCCCTAGCCACTGGGATTACAGACATGTGCCATCACACCTGGCTTATTTCAAATGTTTAACTAATTTGAAATTTTCCATTGGATTTTTTGGGGGTAACACCTTTATTGAGATAAAATTCATATACCATACAATTCACCCATCTAAAGTATACAGTTCAGGGCTGAGGGTAGAGCTCAGTTGGTGGAGTGCTTGCCTTGCATGCACAAGGCCCTGGGTTCAATCCCCAACACCAAAAAAAAAAAAAAAAAAAAAAAAACCACACAGTTCAGTGTTTTTTTGTTTTTTTTTTAGCATATGTACAGATTTGTGCGATGATCACTACACTCCAGTATCAGTACTTTATTTATTTTTATTGCTGAATAATATTTAGTTGTATGGATATACCACATTTTGCTTATCTGTTCATTGATTGATGGAAATTTGGAATTTTTTCCATCTGTTTTGTTTGTTTACCAAGTTTTAAATTCATATCTTCAAGTCTGTGGCTTATTTAGATGGTGATTTCTTTAGTTGTTTGATTAACAAAGCTTCTCCCAAATCAATGACAACATATTTGCCTTGTATTTTTATCCTTTTAATTTTTAAAATTTGTTTTATTTTTGTTTCACGTTTCAATTGGCAATCCACCTAAATTTCATTTTGGAGTTATGAGAATTAGGAAAAGTTTAAATAATACTCCATGGTGCCCCATCTCCCCCAGGAGCCGATAATTTCCAGATGTGTCTGCCAAGTCATCTTCTCACTGACCATTTCCTTTTTTTTTTTTTTTTGATACTGATTTATTTTTTAAAAGACTTCATTTTTTTAGAGGAATTTGAGGCTCACAGAAAATCGAGTGGAAGGGACAGAGATTTTGCACACACTCCCTGCCCCTGCATATAAGCAGCATCCAATGCTGACAGCATCCAGCCCCAGAATGGTAACTTGTTACAATAGATGAACCTCTTGGACCCATCCTCATCCTTCAGGGTCCAAGGCTTATACTAGAGCTCCCTCTCGGTGTCTATATTCTGTGTATTTGGACAGATGTGTAATGACATGTATCCATCTCAAAATATCATGCAGATTATTTTATCTGCCTAAACATCTTCTGTGCTCTGCCTGTTCATCTCTTCCTCCTTCCCGACCCCTGGCAACCACTGATCTTTTTATTGTCTTCATTTTGCATTTTTGTAGTACGTCATATAGCTGGAGTCACATGGTATGTCGCCTTTTAATCCTTCTTTCATTTATTAATGTGCATTTAAGTTTCCTCCAGATCTGTTTGCAGCTTGAGGGGCTCGTTCCTTTTGAGTGCTGAATAATATTGCATCGTTTGGTTGTACAATAGTTTATTTGACCATTCACACGTCTTGGTTGCTTCCAGGATTTGGCACTTACAAATAAAGGTGCTGTAAACATCTGTGTGTAGGTTTGTGTGTAAGTTTTTAACTGACTTGGGTAAACCAAGGGGCGTGATTGCTGGATTGAATGGTAAAAATATACTTAGTCTTGTAAGAAATTGCCAAACGGTCTTTCTAAAGTGGCTGTACCATTTTGCGTTTGCCCCAGCAATGAAAGAAAGTCTCTGGTATTCCATGTCCTTGTCAGCATTTGGTGTTGTCAGTGTTCTGAATTTTGGCCATTCTGCTAAATATGTATTGGTATGATGTCATATATTTTTTTAGGGGGGGTATTGGGGATTGAACCCAGAGGCACTTTACTATGAAGCCACATCCACAGCGTCGCCTCCCACCCCTGCTTTTTGAAATCTTTTAGTTGTAGATGGTCAAAATACCTTTATTTTATTTATTTATTTTTATGTGGTGCTGAGGATCGAGCACAGTGCCTCACATGTGCTAGGCAAGTGCTCTGCCACTGCGCTACAGCCCCAGCTCCCCCAGCCCTTTTTATTTTTTACTTGGAGATAGGATCTCACTAAGAAGCTTAGTAATTTGCTTGCTTAGTAATGAGCTTGCTAATTTGCTGAGGCTGGCCCCAAACTTTCAATCCTCCTGTCTCAGCCTCTGCGTCACTGGGATTACAGGTATGCCTCAGTGTGCCCAGCACACTGTTTTTTTTGGCAGGGGATGGGGTACTGAGGATTGAACTGAACTCAGAGGCACTCGACCACTGAGCCACATCCCTGGTCCTATTTTGTATTTTATTTAGAGACAGGGCCTCACTGAGTTGCTTAGCAGTACACAGATGTTTTAACTTGCATTTCCCTGATGACCCAATATGTGGAGCATCTTTTTGTGCACTTATTTGCCATTGGTATATAGGTGCACGCACACACAATCTTGCACATAACTTCACAGGGAAACCTGTCAATCAGTGAATCCTGATTAAGAGCCCCTGCTTGGGATCTCTGGTAGGTTCTTGGCATCGTCTCCTCTATGCCATGCCTCACATGTCTACATGCCCCTGCTCACTTTCTCTGAACCTGTGCATGCCCTACTTTTCCAGGACAGGTGTTGGCTATAGTATTGATCTGGAACCCGGTTAGACTGACCTAAGGTTTTTTTGAAAATGATTACTTCTCACTGTGGCTTCCAGACGGGAAGACATTGGCCAAACTTGACTCTGAGGTCTCATGACTTTTTGGACATCACAGGTTTCACTCTGTGTTCCAAGGATGACCTTTAAGTAGTATCACCAGCTGGCCGAGCTGGCGATATGAACTGGGTTCAAAGGGGTGGCTGTATCAATAACCAATAAAACGGCGAAGAAACCACGCAGCACACGAACATAAGTTTCTAAGGCAGGACGGCTAGGCTCGGTGACCCCAAGGGTCAGCTCCAGTGCTGGAAGGAGCAAGAGAGAAGGAGCACGTCCTGAACCCTGGTATTTGTTGGGGAGAAAGACATTTGAGAAAGTTCCACCCAAATAAGGCAAGGGATTGGATTTTGGAGGGTGGAGTCTTGCTTGGTGATGTCTTGTGGTCAGCAGATTGACTGACATGTTGGAAAGACACACCCACCTCAGGTGCTGTGTGGGATCAAAGGCAGAGAGAGAGAAAAGGACACATACGTCGCACAGCCCAGTCAGGCAGCAACGTCAGGCCAGTCCCCTCATACGCTCAAATGTGCATAGCTCATACACAGAGCCATGGCTGGCTCGCGACAAAGTAGGCAGTTCCTTTTTGACCCCTCTCCTCACAACCATTTTGACCTTGCAGAAGACCTCGGTGAAGCTTCTGGAAACATGCTGATTGAGCCTAGACTTGACCTTCCCCTCCACTTTTGCTGTCACCCTACTTTGGGGCCGACGTGGTGGTTGACTTTTCCCCACTGGATCCTCTTTTATAACTTCCTGCGTTATTCCCTTCAGCTTGAATTTGCTCGACATTCAGAGCCTTTTCCTATGCGGTAATAATTGGGGTTCTTGTGGGGTGGAACACGCCCACTAGTTCTTTCTTCTGTTCCCATTCAGTGGTGTCCTGTGTTCTGTAGATTCTGGCTGTGACTCAGTCACTGACACAGAGCCTGAGGACGAGAAGGTCCTTCCCTACTTGAAGCAGCAGAACTTGCCAACGGAGACTTCACCTGGGAACCTGATGGTGGTGCAGCCGGACCGCATTCGCTGTGGGGTAAGCACTCCTGGGGGTCTGGGAGATCCATGTCAGAATGTGGGCTTTTCAAATGGATGCTTTTGTTATGGTAAAGGGAGGGGGTCTCATGTTGCACCTCAGTATAATCTCAGCCTTCCCTTGGGATTTCCCTTGGGACCCCCATGACCTAGGCTTTGGACACATCTTGTCCTGTAAGTCAATGAGGAATGTATGTATCATTCATGTAAAACTTCCATTTTATGGGTCATTTACATAGAACATGCAGGACACCAGTAAATATGAATTCTTTCAGATATTGTGCTGTCCTTGGAGTTAGAGGCCTGTGTCTGTTCCTGCTGGTCTGGCACTGGACCAGGAGGTGAGGCGTGCTGAGAGCTTGCTTTTTTTGTCACCTGGCCACTGGTCTGGCCCAATAGACTGCCTTAAAGCTTGATGGATGAAACTCAATAGCCAATACAGCTTAATAAAAAGGTGGATGAATGCCTTAGTATCTTGTGATTGGCACTTTCAGTACAGAGAATATATTAACAGGTGACTCAACTGTGACGGCCTAACAGATGAGGCACTCCATTCATCAACAGATGAGCAATGAACATGGTAGTGATAGTTTTCATTATCTTTCTATTCTTGATGGAAAATATATAGCTTTCTTTTTTTCTTTTTTTGCAGTGCTGGGAATCAAATGCAGGGCAGGCCTTGTGCATGCTGGGCCAGCACTCCACCTCTGAGCCACTCCCAAGTCCCCAAAATGTGTAGCATTTATGACAGTTTGGGGCAGTGAAATGCATTCTTCTTGGTTACTAGCTCATAGTTAAGCTTGCCACTGTGGTCTCCTTGAGATGACAGGGTGTGAGAGTCTTGGTGATAGAATACATGGGCACCAGCTTCCTTGCACTTGGAAGTGGGTTTCTGTGCAGCCATAGCCCCGAGACAGTGGGCCAGGGTTCCTTCTGTGGGGTTGCAATCTGCTCCTTCGGACTCGGTTGGGTGTTTGACTCATAGACATGTTTGGTTTGAACTTCACAGTGTTTTTAAAATTAGCCATAATAATCTGTGCTTCAAGCTTCCTTTGAATCAGAAGCGGGTAATATTAGTCCTGCGGTGACCAGCTGGGGCTGAGCAGCCTTTGCGTGGGATGTGCATCCTCTGGCTGGTGCCTACCACTTCCTATTCATTATACTAACTTCACTCCCTTCCCCTACTGACTGGACCTGGCTGGGCATTTTAGTTTCAGTTTCCCATACTGCTTCCTGACGTCAGAGGGTCATGGGGAAGGGTGCATGTGGGTGCCTGTGTGTGTCTGGAACTCAAGCACGTTTCCCTTCCCTTGCCTCTCTGATTTTCTGGGTTCTCATTGCTTTTCCCATCTGGGCTGCCTATGATCTCGGGACTCTATTTGTTGCATTCTCTAGGTCTCTGGGTCCACGGGTGGCTGGGTCTTGACTATCAACAGGACGGACACACATTATCTTTGGCTTCTTACTTCTGTGGGGTAAGGTGCATGTAGGACAGGGCTCAGCCTGCAGCAGGAGTAACCACAACCACAGTGTGTGTGTGTGTGTGTGTGTGTGTGTGTGCGCGTGCTTAGCCTTCACACCTAGAATTTGCCCCTTCCTCCATCTGCTCTGAAATCCAAGCTTGCTGTACTTTTCTTGTGGCCCTTGTCAGGAAGGTCTATGTGAGGACCTTATGGCAGGACCTTAGAATGAACATTTGGATTAGCTGTGACCAGAAATTTCTTTTTCCCCCTGTTATTTTGGAGCCTAATCTTACCAGATCAGTCTGAAGTGAGCATTTTCCAGTTTAACCAGCACAGTTAAAAAAAAAAAAATACAGCTTGAGTATCCCCTAATCTGAAATGTTGGGGATAGAAATATCTTGTATTTCAAATTTTTTTTGGATTTTGGATTATCTGTAGATACATAGTAAAATATGTTGAGGAAGGGAACCAAGTCTAAATATAAAATCCATTTATTTCATTCATTATGAACATTCATTGGACATCACATGGACATTCATTCATCATGTGTATACACATAGGCTGAAGGTAATTTTATATAATACTTTCAGTGTAGCTGTGTTTAGGCTGCAACCTGTCATGTGAAGTCAGGCGAGGAATTTTCAACTTGTGGCCCCATGTTGGTGCTCCAAAAACTTTCAGATTTTGGAGCATTTCATATTTCGGATTTTTTGTATTAGGGATTCTCAACCCTTAATTCCTTTTGGCAGACTCAGTGTGAGATATTTTTTTCATTTGTCCTTTTTAGTTACACATGGTAGTAGAATGTATTTTGATAGATCATACATGCATGGAGTATGACTTCCCATTCTTGTGGTTGTACATGGTGTGGGGTTTCACTGGTTGTGTATTCATATATAAACATAGGAAATTAATGTCCGATTCATTCTACTCCCTTTCCCCTTCCCATCTCCCCTCCCTTCCCTTCATCCCCCCACCCCAATCTGGTGAACTGCTACTCCTCCCTCCCCCCAGCCTATTCTGAGTCAGAATCAGTGTGAGATCTTACAACAAAGTTAAAAAGAGCTGTTTAAGTTGCTTGATACCTTGGAAAAATTACTGCCCCCCATCCCCTGCCACCCGCCAATGAGTTATTTTTGGCCCTCTAGGAACAGCATGAGGAGCAGAGCCCTGTCCAGGCCAGGGCCTCTCACTCCTCAAGGTGCAGAGGAGTCACCTGAGCATCTTGTTAAAATGCAGACTCTTGGTCAGTGGTCCAGGAGGGACCTGGCAGTCTGCTTTTCTACCTAGCTTCAGGGGTGCCAATGCTGCTGGTCCCTTGGCTGTACTTGGAATAATAAGACTAGTCTAGAACAGCGCTTCTCAAACTACCATGGGGAAGAACTTTCTTTAAAAAAAAAGTCCAATTTTACAATGATGCAGTGATTTTCTAAAAACAATAATAAAAGAATCCTATAAAATGAAATTAAAAGACAATGACGTACAAGCTCCAGTCTTTAAAAATTTATTATTACATTGAACAGACATAAAATAACTCCATAAAATTGCTATAAGGGATTATAAATGTTTACTATTGTCTTTGGCAACTTGTCTTATTGGGGCAGTATCCCAGAGTTCCCTGCCTGGCCCTGGACTGCTGAGCCCATGGTGCTCTGGAGCACCCTCACCAGAGAGAGCTGGGACTCAGGAAGCTAGGGAGACCCTCAGCCCAGCACCCTAAGGAGACCCAGAAGGGAGAGGGGACCATGACCTGTCTCCCATTCCAGGCAGAAACCACTGTCTACGTCATTGTGAGATGTAAGTTGGATGACAAGGTGGCAACAGAAGCAGAATTTTCTCCTGAGGATTCTCCGTCCGTAAGGGTGGAAGCCACTCTGGAGAATGAGTACACAGTGTCTGTGAAGGCTCCTCGTAAGTAGCCCCAAGGTGACAGGTCAACAGTGCTTAACTGTCTTCGGGAATATTATCACTCTCCAGCTTATTTGCCGTTCCAGCACCCACGCGGACACTGGCACTTTGAATAAATAATTTCACATGTTTTTAAAAAGCAGTATTAATTTTAATTTTAATTTGCAGTTTTAATTTGTATTTCCTTGATTACTAATGAAGCTGAACATTTTTCCATGTCCTCTATTTGCAAGCATTTCCTCTTTTGTGAATTGAATCTTTGTGGTTGGTGTATTTTTAGTTTTTTTCTTTCCCCTCAAAACCCCTTCCGGTCTCACCAGCCCAGAGTGGCAGGAACAGTGTCACCTCCCAGGATCCTCCACCTTCTGCAACCACTGGCTTTTGTATCAAGTGCCTCAAACCCAGCTTTTCTTCCTGGTCATTGGCGCACTAGGTCTACAGTAGGAAGTAAAACAGACGAAAATCCTTCCAAATTTAAATCGCATACCCAGTGAGGACATTTGCTCTGACACAGCCCTGCCACTTTGGGCCTACTCCTTTTCCACTTCCATCCTTCCCCCGGTTCCCCTCTCCAGCTGGCCTCTGAGATCTTTCTCCCAACCCTCAATTAGTATTTTCACCATTCGGTGAAGCATCCACTATCTGTATGCTTTTCCCTGGATCCTTGTTCTCCCTGGGCATTTTCACACTAACTTTTCCTCTGTTTAGACCTTTCATCTGGGAACGTTTGTCTGAAGATATATTCTGGGGACTTAGTGGTGTGTGAAACCATTATAAGCTATTATACTGACATGGAAGAAATCGGGAATTTATTGTCCAATGCTGCAAATCCTGTGGAGTTCATGTGTCAGGTAAGGACAGGAAGCCTGAGCTCTCTTGGACGTGTAATTTCTGCTTATGGTTTTTTAGCCTCTTATCTGCTGGGCAGGAGATAGCTGGACATCTTTAAAATCTGACCGCCTTCACTTTTTTTCAGGCCTTTAAAATTGTGCCCTACAACACAGAGACCCTGGATAAACTGCTCACCGAGTCCCTGAAGAACAACATCCCTGCAAGCGGACTGCACCTCTTTGGAATCAACCAGCTGGAAGAAGAAGATATGATGACAAGTAAGTCTACAGTCAGACCCCCGGACCAGCAGCCTGCTGGTTTCAGCATCTAGCAGGTTCTTTCTGCTGATCCCTGCTCTACAGCCCACCCTAGGAGAAGGACTCTTGCTTCCCTGGGTGGCCGAGATTCTTCTCAGTTGCACATCTGAATCAGGTCATGCGTCAGTCACCTAGCCATGGGGATACCTTCTGAGAATTGCAGTCAGATGATTTAATCCTTGTGTGGGGCTTCTAGGGGGCACTCACACAAACCCAGCCAGCATGGCCTGCTCCACACCCAGCCTTTGTGGCTCACATATACCTGTGGGCCAAGATGAGCAGAAAGACTCAAGGATAAATCAGGCACAAGAGAAGATGGTACAAAAAGAAACACAGTAGGCACAACATGTGCGGGGCTGCTGCTGGGGTAACACAGCAGAATATTTTACAGTAATTTTTTAATAAGTATAATCTAAAGTAACAAAAACCGTGGTATAGTGAATACACAAGCCATTTATCATTTGCTGTCATCAAGTGTTATATACTGTGCATAACTGTGCCGTGCTTTTACACAACTGACCATGTAGCAGGTTTGTTCACACCAGCGTCATCACAAACATGGTAATGCCTTGTGCTATGATGTTAGATGGCCATGTGTCACTAGGGGATGGAGTTTTTTAGTGGCATCCTAATCTTACAGGACCTCTGCTGTTGTCATGAGGGACATGACTGCGCTTCACCCCCTTCTAGGAACACATGGTAGTTCCCACTCGCCTTCTGGGTGAAGTTCAAAGCCTCAGCCTGCTAACAAGCCCTTCCCCAGGGCTGCTGCCCTCACCTCTCTCTGCCCGTCCCTTGGCTTCTAGGTCCTGCTCTAAGGATGGGATGACCTTCTGTCACCCGTGTCTTGCCACTCCACTCATGGGAACAGTTTCTTGGTCCCCGCCTTGGTTGCCCCTTGCGTGGCTCGCTTCTCCTCATCTCCCCACAGCAGTTCAGGCGGTGCTTCCCTCTAAGAGGCCTTCTCCAGACGTCCACCTGTTGCACCACCTGCTGCGGGCTCCCCAGCATGCTGGGGCCTCTGTCCTCGAGCTTGCCAGCTGAGTCTGACTTTTCTTTGCTAGGTTCTTAGCTCAGCAATGAGTGGAAATGTTTCCAGGAGGCCAGCTCCTTATAGACCTAAACCAGTGTCTGTCCTGTGAGGGAGGAGCAGGCCTTGTACACTGTGGGACAGTCACACCACTCACACGAGGATGGTGCCCAGTGCTCTGGACAGGATGCCTTTGCAGTTTTCTTGTGGACACCATTCTTCTGTCATACCACGGTGGCCCTGCCCAAATGGAACCAAGTCCCATGGCTTCCCTCTGCCTGCGTCACAGCCTTCCATAGCCTGAGGACCATAGGTTGGAGCTACCTTAACTTCAAAGCCTGGTCCTGAGGGTGTTCTTTCTTGTTACCTCCCCTCACTTTTCTGCTGTGGAATGTTCTTTCATCATGTCTGGTAGATGTTACTACTCTATATGCCTCAACTCAGGGCTCAGGAGAGAATATTTCATGGCCTGACAGTCGGGGAACCTGGGGATGGTTTTAGACCCTTCTTCCCAAGTATCATGACCTGGTGAATAGGAAGCTGGGTTTGCTATTATATCATATATGTATATATACATCTATATAATGGTATATAATATAAATTGTTAGTCCCACAAATCAACTTTAAGGAGAAAAAAGATTTTCCTTCCAACTCCACAACACAATCATATCTACTTTTTTGGTATTCTTATTATGAAATTGGGAATAAGAATTAAAAGGATGGGCTTCTTTCTCTTAGCACAAAACAATAGTTTCAAAGCACTCTGAACTTTGCGGAGAAGGTCAAAATATGATCTTTGCTGCAACTTGTGGTGGATATTTAAGTCCCTAGAAATCATCATCTTGTAGGGCTGGGGTGGAGTTCAGCAGTACAGCCCTTGCCAAGTTTGCATGAGGCCCTGGGTACCATCCCTAGCACTGCAAAGAACGAAATCAGCACCTTCTGAATTGGTACTATTTCTAAGTTTTTCCAATATTTTTGGAGCAAGAAGGTAGGCTATTAATTATTGGTATGCTAATTAATTAAAATTTTATTTTTCTCTGTCATATGAATACATGATCTTCAGGGGTACCCCAAAGGAAGCATGTCAGATGATATGCCAATCAACTAGTAAGTAATAATTCAGTGTCTACTGGGTGTCATGCTAGACTTGGCAGCTTCATCTCCTGTGCCTTCATTGTTATCTGTCAATTAAGTTCTCCTTGACCCTTTTTTCAGATCAGAGGGACGAAGAGCTGCCCACCTTGTTGCATTTTGCTGCAAAGTATGGGCTGAAGAACCTGACCGCCTTGCTGCTCACATGCCCAGGAGCCGTGCAGGCATACAGTGTGGCCAACAAGCATGGCCACTACCCCAATACCATCGCTGAGAAGCATGGCTTCAGGGACCTGCGGCAGTTCATCGATGAGTATGTGGTAAGATCAAGGCGAGGGGACCCCAAGATTGGAAGTGCATCATGTGGCTATGTCTTCCTCTTTACAAAGATACAGACAGATTCCATCCCTGGAATGTCCTTTGGGCCTCTTCTGGCTGTGGGCAGTATGGGGGGTGGACTTGAAATGAGCCCTGAAGTCACATGGGTCCAAATTCCTATATACACTTGGTAGACATGTGACTTCATGGACAGAAGGGAGATCATAACAGTTCTACTCATAGAGTTGTTTTGAGGATAAAATGAAATAATGCAAGCTCTGAGAAGCACCCTCAAAGAATTTAGAGAAGCATTTATAGGGTGGATTGGCTAAAGATTGTTGCTGATTCTCTTCATCACCTACCTACCTCCCCACCTACCTCCAGATCTTCCCAATTACCTGGTCCAGCTTCAGCCCCAGGTGAACTGTGTTAGGATTAATTAGCAGATACCACAAAAAGGTTCAGCACCTGAGGCGGGCAGTGAGGTTCTGACTCTCTGCCTGGATCTGAACTTAAGACAGGCAGATGCACCCAGTTTATCTGCTCATCTGGTTTTGGGACCCCTTTCCTCCTTGATCATTGGCTTCTGTGTCTTTCCCTGAGTCTGATCTCACCCCTTGCCTACATTTTTCCTGCGCGCAATATTGCCACTATTGTCCTGGAGGCAGTTGCTCTTCCTGACTCCACTCATTCCTGCTTTACCGTCTCCTTCACAGACCCTCAGAGGGCACCCAAGAATGGCTCAGTCTTTCACATGGGGCTGTGACCCCCAAGAGAAGCCATGAACACTGACTGTCCAGGCTGGCTGTCTACCTCCAGAAGGGAGTGAGCCTGACAGCTTTCCAGACTCTTAACTCTGCTCCGTATTGGAAAATCTATAAGGCAGGGACCCACCAAGGCACACGGAGGGGCCTTCCTCAGCATTTTTGAATGAACAGAATGGTATAAATCCTGATTTTGGGTCTCACTGACATAAATGGATCTAAGAGGCCCTTGTAGTCTCAGAATATTTCATTTCACTTTCTTGTCAGTTATTTTTACTAAGGACATATGGTATTCATGGTAGTAATATTTATTGAGTTTATTTAATTGGCAAATGCATTATCTCGTTTAATCCTCATCACAATCCTTTGAAGTTGACAGCATTGTGATCCCTGGTTTGTGAATGAGAAAAAAGACCTAGAAAGGCAAAGTGGTTGTGCCTGGAGCCATGCACATGGAAAGTGTGGAGATGGGATTGGAACCTAGTTTGATCCTAAAGCCAGGGCTTATTATCATGCTTTATATAACAGGGAAGTTTATTGACTTATTTATTTCTGCAGTACTGGGGATTGAACCTAGGACCTCAAGCATGCTAAGCAAGCTACACCCCTGAGCTACACCCTTGTCCCACACAGGGAAGTTTAAATATGCACTTTTAGTGTGCATTGAAGTTAATCTGGTTCACATTTCTTGAATCATCTTTGCTATGTCGTCACCTTCCACCAATGTGTCTTCAACCTTGCTGCCAAAAGGTTATCCCCGCATGTTGCTTATGGCCCCTAAAAATCAACCCACCTTTTTTCCCCACCACCTCAAAATCAAATGCCCAACCTGGAATCTCCAATACTGTGTAGCTGTCACCAGTCCACTCAGTCCTACCAGGAAACCAATGCAAAGAATCAGTGAAAGAGCAACTTTCTTGGGCAGTGATGATGAAAATGAGGATTTTCTGTGGGTGGAAATAAGGATTGTGACACACCTAAGTTTCTTACCAGAAAAGATTGTTGCAGCGGTTTCAGAGAAGTGGGCTCTCTAGCTTCACAACCACCTAGAGGCAGAATGACTGCGAGCATCTTTACTGACTCCAGGGCTCTTCCACTAGGACCAGCTCTCTCCTTGGGCATACAACATGAAGCTCTGGAAACCACCAGGCACCTTGAAGAAGCCTGCCAGAAGGGATGGGGTCTGAGGGAGTCACTCTGGGACCCAGAAGCAAGGCTCAGTTGGGCCAGCTTGCATTTCTCTGTGGCCTCTTGTGTCATTTGCTCCCTATTGAGAAACCACTAGGATGAAGTAGAAAGGTCAGAATCCAGGACTGTAACCCCTAAAGTAAAGCACCACGATTTTTCTGAGCTTTGTTTGTAAACTAGGAAATAATAACTTTCTCAAGCAGCGTGGAAAGAATAGCCTGCATCTAGTTATACAACCAGCATCGCACTGACCCATGAGAGGTGCTCATGAGAAAGTAATTTCTTATTTGTATCCTCTAGCTGTTGAATATTTAATCAGTGTCTCTTAAGAGCATAACCTTGATTAGTGTTAGGGGAAGATATGATGATTAAAGCAAAGAACACAATGTAAGGAAAGAAAAAATAACGCCTAAAGCTTGGCCCCAGGGAGAACACAGGTTCCCCAGGCAAATGCAATCCTGACTCCTGCGAATGCCTGCTTCAGGCCCCCTGGGGACCGAAATGCGCCTGGCTCAGTGTCATTGTGCCTGTGGGCCCGTCTTCTCTTGCAGGAGACTGTAGACATGCTGAAGAGTCATATCAAAGAGGAGCTGATGCACGGGGAGGAGGCCGAGGCTGACGCCGTGTACGAGTCCATGGCCCACCTGTCCACAGACCTGCTCATGAAATGCTCCCTCAACCCCGGCTGTGACGAAGAGCTGTATGAGTCCATGGCTGCCTTCGCCCCTGCGGCCACTGAAGACCTCTGTAAGTAGCCCGGCCAGTTCTGGTTGCATGTTTCTGCTGAGAAATGACTTTCTTCATTCTGGTCTGTTTGGGGAAGTCCCTGCTTACCCCTGCCCCACTCAGACAAATGAAGATCCTGTGTTCGTTTTAGGCCTGCAGTCATGTGCTGTGGCACGTAGAACCTTTCCCCACACTTCCCCTGTTGTGGCTGCTGTGAGGGTTTGCCTGGAAGTCACAACTCACAAAGGCATTGTCTTGTGATCCGAGAAGCTCCAGTCCCCCTGCCTGGTCCAACAGCCCCCTTTTTTTTTTAATTGTGTTGGACACAATACCTTTATTTTATTTATTTATTTTTATGTGGTGCTGAGGATCAAACCCGGTGCCTCGCACATGCTAGGCGAACGCTTTACCACTGAGCCACAACCCCAGCCCTGCAACAGCCTCTTTTTATAACTAACATTTCGTAAAGCCCCCTTTGCTACCCTGCATGACATTCATGTATAATATAGCGTACCTACACATGAAACCCTGAGACACTCAGTGTCCTGCCCTATTTGAAATGTTAAATAGAAATTAAGGGAGAGGACATGGCCAGGCATGCCTGCCCATGAAGACACTTGAAACAGTTCCAGGTAGACACCTGTCAATGTCATGGCCTCAGATGGAGATTGACACGCATCCAATATCTTGCTGACTCAAAGGCTACGAGGAATGTTGACATCAATGCCTGGATTTTCTGAAATTGTGAACTTCTCTTCACAATTTCCTAATAAATGAGTTCCTGGAAAATTCAGAGCATGCAAAAATAAAAGGTATTTACATATGAAAGAGTTAGGTTCTAGGCTCAGAAAATAAGCAGGTTTTTTTTTTTTTTTTTTTTTTTTTTTTTTTTTTTTTTTTTGCGGGGGGATAACCTGATTTTACTGTGTTAATACACAGTAAACTTATTTCTAAAATATCATGCTGCAGGACGTGATTTTTTTTCTTATAAATTTCTTAACTAATTTTGACCATTTGGGAGTAAGTATGTTGTTTTTATTTTATTTTTCCACTTTCAAAAGTAATAACATTTTTACAAACACTTGAAATAAAATAGAAATGTACAACTGAGTTGATAAAAGTCTATATGACCCCCCCCCAGTCAATGTAGCATTAATAATAGTTTGGTATTACATCTTTTCCTTATATTTGTTGATATTAAATTTAAAATTTTGCACACACACACGTATATGTGTGTGTATATATATATATGTACACAGATATGCACAAATGTACACATATGTATAAATATGTATTATAAGCTTTTTTTAACTTATATATGTGTAATGGGATAACGAAAGTCATGGGGGACACCAACACTTCATTTTGCAAGGCTGTCCCACACATTGCAGGGTGTCTGGCTTCCTTGCCCCTTCTATTGAATGCCCTTGGTGTCCCTAGTCTTGGTGACAACCCTAAATACTCTTCTAGATCTTCAAAATGCCCCCTAGGGGGCAGTGTGCCACCCTTGAGAATTGCTGATCTAATTAGCATCGGATTGCAATGCATGTACTGGTTGGTGGTGAAGCAGGAGAACCACACAACAGGCCGTCTAAGAGGATTCTTAATGTCTTTACCATCATTTGCTATCAAGTGCTAAGCACTGTCCAAGACTTAGCCCTCCTTTCCTCTGAGTCTAATTAGTAGATTCAGGAAACATGACACAGACCAGGGATGTAGCCAGTGGTAGAACACTTTCCTAGCATGCGTGACACCCTGGATTTAATTCCCAGCACTGTGGGGAAAAAGAGAGAGAAAGAAAGAAAGAAAGATAAAGACAGATACCCAGAAATGTATCAGCTTTATGGGCAGAGGACTTTCTGGATTGGGCTAGCTTGGATGTTGTCACCCTTCCAGGGACTGCAAGGAGGCAGTTCTAAGTTTCTCATGCACAAACTCCCGTAAAGCAGGCACCATGAATGTGCCTTGGAGCAATAGGCATAGGTTCGTTGGGGACTTGGGGTGTCCCTGACACCAGCAAAGTCTTTGACTCTGACCCCAGCACCTGCAAGATGTGGGCCAGTGATTGTTAGGCCTTTGCCATTGAGATCAGCTGCTTCTCTGGGGTAGAGGGTAGTAGAAGCCCCCTTCCAGCACCTAATTGGGAGAACTGGAAGCACTAGTGTGTGCTTTTCCCAAATAGCTATGGCCTGTCAGGCACATGAGAATGGAAGGCATCATTCCTACCATCCACATCCTTTGTCTCATTGAATCCTTAAAGCATCCAGACAGGGCCACTTCATTATCTGCACCTTAAAAGTGGGGAAACTGAGGCACTGAGAAGTTAAACAACTTTCCCAAAGTGCCCCAACTGATAAGTGGGAGAGCCTATATTTGAATCCAGGCCTTTCTCTAGGATCATATTTTTTATTCCAGGCTAGAAATTTTCCTCGAACATTGTAAATTTTAGTCCATTTCATTTAAAGAAACCCTTAACCTCTGTACTCATGCTTCCCCTATCTGTACTTCAGACATCAGATAACCAGACAGCCTCTGGCACCCCTGCACTTGCACATCTGTTCGCCTACATACCCAACAAGCATTCTGGAGCATCTGTGTATTCTAGCTCCTTGCCTCTCCTGGGCGCTGGAGATACAAGATGGACCAAGACCAGTCCTTCCCACTGTGGAACAGGGACCCATTCACAAAAGAACACTTGGAGAACCACGGGAACCCCTTGGGAATCCAGAGACTATGCATCATTTCTGCCCTGTCCCCTAGTTATAGGACTGTCCCACAATGAAAAAACTCCCCACTTTCCTGGCACTTTGTGTTGACATAGTCTTAACCCTTGTTATCCCCCTGGATGCTCCAGTACATGGAGCTCCCTACTGTATCACTGGACTCCTGCAGGGAATGCTAAAGGCATCCATCCCATTACTCCTTGTCTGTTGGGCCCTTCACAGTGGAAATTCTGAGGTTCCCCAGCTCTTCCCACAGCAACGTGTGCTGGGCACCTAGGCTGGTTTGTGGCTGATTGGCAATTTGTAAAGTCCCATGGTGCCTGGGGGTGGGGAGATTTGGTCATTGTGGAGCTGGAAGGGGGCTACCAGGAGAGAGGCAGGCTATAGAATGTGGCTCCATTTTGAGCGAGAAATGGAAACCCACCACATTTTTCATTTGCTAGATCATATAATCTCTGAAATTTGGGATTTTAGACATGTTTGGTTTGTTTCTGTCTCTGCAATTATTAGATTTAACCTTGAGAACGGTCCCTTCCCTACTGACTCAGAAGATGCAGCAACTTGGACCTGGGAAGAGTCATTCATTTTACTGGTGTTGACTATCTGAGTGAGAAGGCAGCTTGGTTCCTAAACAAGTAGGATAGAGACCATACTGATAAATCTAAAATGCTTATTGCAGCACTAGCCAGGAAGGCCATAATTCAGTATCTGGCAGCCCTTTGAAGTCCACTGACTGCTTTCATCTCTGTCATCTTATCTGATGGTCCTTAGGCTTGGTGGATAGAATGATCTCCCTTTTCCAGAGCTCCAAGAGTTAGTAATTAATCTAAGTTCCATCAAGGAAGAACTTGGATCAGGAATCTGGGCGTTTGGATGGGGTTGAGGGCTTTCCTGGTGTGCCCTTCTGGGATCTGCATTTGCCAACCCTGGGATAGGCAAATCAGAGGAAGTGTTTTCCAATGTCTAAATAGCCAGGGTTGTCTATCCCCTTCCTGTGTGGCTGTTTGTGATGGTTACCCTAAATGCCGAAAATAAACACATTACAAAATTGGGCTGTGTTCCTTCACTCACTTGCTCATTCATTCACCTGCTTGCTGGACCAGTATTGTGGACCAGTGGCCTTTAGACCAGTTTGCAGAACTACTTTGGAGATGCTCTAACTGTTTTGGAGACAGATCTGTCTCTTTCTGACTTGAGTGGGGGGAAAGAGATGTGATGAGCTCCCCTTTACCAAAGGAGATTCTAAAACAACAACTGAGTAGAAAGATCGACAAGGGAAATTCCCGGTATTGAGTAAAGGGGAACTGGGAGCTGAACCTGAGATTTTATGATCCTGCTCTAGGCTCTCTTTCCCTGAAACTTTTGTGTATACACACACACATACACACACACACACACACTCACACACACATACACACACACACACACACACACACACACACACCCCTCGCAGTCTTTAGTTTAGATATGCTGCCACCAGGTGGCAACTGCATGTCTTTATTATTAGACCTACTTTGCTGTCAATCCTCTTGAGAATTTTTTGATCAAGACTCCACAGACTTAAATCATCAACTTCCACACTTTACTATGTAAGAAATAAATGTCTTTACGGATAAGCTTATGGAAACACTGATTAAAAATCAAACTAAGCATGTCTGTAGGTGTTTTCACTATCTCCTAATCTTTTCTCCTTTAGTTCTGTTGCCTCTCTCCTTCCCTTCAGAGAATGATGTGATAGTACTGGCGGTCCTTTGATGTTGGTCATTAATTTTATTATGAAAACTTTGCCTAGTGACTAGTCACTTCCCTGAAGCTCTAGGTATGAAGGCCTCAGGAGCTAGTTCTGGGAGGCCCTTGTCAGTCTCCAAGGGAATCACTTGGTGGATTTTGTCTTTGCTTACATATCTCAGAGGCTTGTGCTTCTTCCATAAGAGAAAGGAGCCAAAGAGAAAGGTATAGTGTCTTGTTACTAGAAATTACAGACTCACAAGGGTCTCTCTAATCTAATCTCTAATTTAATAGTCATTCCAGATAGCTATTCTACTTCACAGTAACCTGTTAGAGTTCCTTTGAACTCTAATCCCTTCTTTACCATCTGTGTCAGCTTGAGTTTGTAGATGGCCAGAGCTGCTGTGGCCCTAGCTGAGAACTGGCATCATGTGACCGATCAGTTTGTGTTTTCTTTACTTGAGCTTCCTGATTGCATGCCCGCCCACAACTGGGTTCCCTCCATAATGGAGGGCATGGTTGAGCAGCTCAGCCCTGTAGATCTGAGTGAAGCCAAAGGACAATTCCTAA